TTTTGGAACATTTGACTAAAGCGTGACTGTTCTTAATTGTACAGTTAACAGCATATCAGTAGGCCTATTCACTAACTCAACTGACAACCAAGAATCGTCATCACCGTAAAAAATAGACACTTTGATTGTGTCAAAATCACTATTTCGTATTCTCTATCAATGATGAGCAATTTCGAAATGTCAATATCGGCATTCTCCACTGGACTCCATTTTGACACTTGATTTCGTATCGATAAACTGTATTAAAGTAACATTGTTGCAAAGCATATTTGAAGTCGTCGCATAGTACCTCTTAAGCCATTTGTTGTTAAATTAAAGCGAAAAAAAATACGTATCCAATATTTTTCTATTATCTGACTGACGGACTAAATCGAATCTTTTTTTTAACCCATTCGTTATACCTATTGGCTAACAGCACTTATAATATTAAAAATTCATATTTGTCATTAATTAAAAGGGTGTTTTTTGCAACGACTTCTTTGTTTTTTTGTAATGAATATGGGCGACTCTGGCCACATTTTTTTAATAAATGTGATGTTAGCCAATTTTGATTTCTGGCCCTTATATTTATAATGTGTTCATAACACATACATGTCTCCTAAGGGATTTTCATCACAACCTTTTGCTCTGATCCAGAACCACTATCTATCAAATTAAATTAGTCAATATAAACACCAGATTACAATAAAAAAAACATTTATTTTTGTTACAATTAAGTGCCATGGATAAATTACATAATACAGGTGTCACAAAATCATCATGTTAATCACAATAGAAAATTTAAGATAAGATTTTGACTATGAATCAGACTAAAAATACTTTAGTCTGATTCATAGTCAAAATCTGTTTCTAAATATTCTACACCTGATAACAATGACAAGGAATCATCAGAGTCACTCTCTTCACTACTGTCTGCACCAACAGATATAATAAATTTTTCAAGTTCGTTTTCAACAATGCCATCTTTTAATTTGTAATCATTTTCGACATTCAAAACATGATCAGTGTATTTCTTCCAGTCACTAGGGGTAATTAAGTTAAAACACTCTATTATTAAGTTTTCCATTTCCTTTCCTGGTATTCCAATGTTTCTGCTTGCAATTTTTCTTTTTGCTTGACTCCAAACCATCTCTATTGGGTTTAAGTCACAATGATACGGTGGCAGCAATAAAAGTTCATGATTATGTTCTTTTAAAATCTCTTCAGCTTCATATACAGGCAATGTTTTCTTATCATTAACCAAACACATTAACTCTGCCTTTGTCTGATATTCCTCAAAATGTATTCCATTATTTACAAGCCATTTACGGATATCTGCTTTGGTATTAGACATTATAGGCGGTTTATTGATTTGTTTTATATGGTAGCTGGCATTATCCATAACAATTACACTGGGCTTACTTAAATTTGGTATTAATTTTTCTCTGACCCATTTCATAAAGTTTGATGAGTTCATATCATCATGATAATCAGCAGATTTGGATTTACTACTGAACACTAATAATGCACCAGGCACAAAACCTTCCTCAGATCCAGCATGCACAACAATATGCCGTTTTCCAGAGGATATCTTTGTAGTGACACCAGTTGTTGAAGGTCCTTGCCAAGACTTTTTAACTTTATAATTCTGATGTACATAAGTTTCATCAAGGTACACAATTTGCTTTCCTTCGTTTCGTTTTATATTTATTTCTCTCAAATACTTGTGCCTCCATGCAGAAATCTGGTATTTTTCTATAAGCATAGAACGTTCATTTTCATTGCTTTTAAAAGAAAATCCATTCTTAAGCATAATTTTTCGTAAAGTCTCACGGCTACCACTGAATCCTATTGCATCTTTTAATTCATTGTGAAGGCTTCTTAATGTTGGAACAATTTTTTTCACACAGTAAAATTCATTTACTTTATTCCGAATTGCACTTAAATCAAAATTATCTAAAGCAGACACTGTTGGTTGATGAGGTCGTTTTTTCCCAGGAGTGTCCCATTTTCCTTTATTAATTAATGCTTCATTTTTTATCCTTCTTAGTGTCCTTATACTTACATCTATAAAAGATTAAACACTTTGAAACAAAGATATGTTAAATGTATTTAAAAGCAAATAATGATAGACACATACATCAAAATAATTTAAATACCTATTCAACTATGAATGCAATTTATGTTTAATTTAGTTAAGTTTATGTGCATATTTAGCATGTATAACAATTACATGGTTTGATTAGTTTCATGAATTCTGTGAATTTCCTTGTTAAACAAAACATTCTTATGACATCATTGGATGTCAACAATAAAAACCAATACATCATAAAAAACCTATGTAAATATTATAGGAATACTATCAATCTATCTTAAATCAAAACAAGAAAAGAGACCTGTCATTGAAGAAATTTTTTGTAAGTACTGCGTTTCCGAATTCAGCATTTCTTGTTTTTCTAAAGTTTTTATTGCATTTATCTCCTCCATTATTGGTTGAATATCACCATCACAGTTATCTGAAATAGAGCAATATTTTATAAAAAATATCTGTTTAGTTAATTACAGAAAATTAAAACGAAAGTATCAAAATTATAATACAAAACTAACCTAAAAAAGATACAACTTTATCTAATCGTTGTAATTTCTCCATGAAATTTTTATTTAATTCAGTTTTCACTTCAGTAAACTTGTCAATCATGATGGAAAGAAGTTTCCTCGATGAACTTTTTATCGGCTTCGACATAATTTTTAACCAAAAACACAAGTTCAAATTCGCAAAAACAACAAAATTCAATATTCTTGAATTGTCTAACGTAGTGTCAAACTGACAGTTCTATGTTGTTGCCATATGAAAACGGAAAAATAGGTGGTGTCACGTTTCGCTTGCCAAACTCTAACACAAAGAGCGATTGAGAGAAAGCTGGTAGGAATTACATTGAGAGACCGAAAAAGAAACGAATGGATACGAGAACAAAGCAAAGTCAGCGATGTCACCAAAAGGATTGCGAAATTGAAATGGGAGTGGGCTGGACATGTCGCCCGTAAGCACGGCTCGTGGTTCAAGGCTGTGGTAGAGTGGAGACCATGGGGTGAGAAGCGCCCAAAAGGAAGACCGCAGATGCGTTGACATGACGACATCAAATGACTGGCGGGAACAAAATGAATGGAGACTGCTCAAGACCAAAAAGATGGCAGAAACTGAGGGAGGCCTACACCTTAGGGGTTGAAAAAGGCTAGAGAGATGCCCTAATGCCAGCACACAGAGAATTATACTGTTTAATCCTTTCTCTCCAACGTATCTCAGGGAACCTTTTAATTACCTTAACGATACGCACTCCCGTGCCTTGTGATCATCAGAGAACCTAAAACTGCAGACGCCAATCCATTCAACAAAGTTTCTCGACAAGTCTTTTGCAGTTCAGGCTGTCCGCCTTTGGAATAAATTACCAGATGATATAAAGCGTGCACTATCACTGAATGTCTTTAAAAATAAGGTAAAAGAGCATTACTTATCTGTCACTTTTTGAACATTAAATTAAGCTATTGTATATTTATTATTATGTATTTATATATGTATGTGTGTATATATATGTATGGAAATTTTTTATTTTAACTCTATAGGACACCATTTACTACCCATCTTTTTTATGTAACTGTCCAGTCTAACTTTTGGTTGCCTGGAAGATATTGCTTTTTAGCGATAAGGCCGCCGATTGTACTGTTTATTGTTATTAATTGTTATGTTGATTTTTATTTTCAAGTACAATAAAGTGTTCATTCATTCATTATTCATGATAATTTACCGTTAATACAAGTAATGTAGGAATTGTAGGAGACCAATCAGGCAGTCTGTCTGTAGTCTAATCTAAATATCATAAAAAAATTATAAATCAAATAGAAATTAAAAGAATATCATACGTCAAAAATCATCTGAATATTTCCCGCTCTTGTAACTTTAGGTATTATATGTCCGCAATTTTATTGTACGTTTTATTTTTTGGTACTTACGAGTGGGTCGATGTACGGGTGATTCCACGGGCTTGAGTAACAATGACAGATATAATAACTATACTATACTGACATCTGAATATGTTTGTGGGGAACCCACTATACGTACATACAACATTCCATATTTGTTTATTTATATATATTCACCACTAACATAAACATAGACATTTTTCATTCAGGTAAAGAGTTCATCATCATAAAAAGAGTAACAATAAAAATAATATACATAAAATTGATTTATACTCTCTATTCGAATAATTTTCTGAATGTTTCAAATATTATATTTTTAAGATTGGAAAATTATAAAATACATATAAACAAATTTTATTCAAATAAATTTTATTGTGTTTGTAAGATAATAAATATATTTAGTTCGATTTTTCGATTTCAGATCGACATGCGTAAACTTAAAAATGTATATAGCAGATTCTTGTACATAAAATCAATGCACTTTTAAATACGCCTATAATTGAATTATAGACAGTCCTAAGCCTGAAAAGTATGATGGGGCGTTTATCGATTTTCTTTAATTTTGCAAGTACTGCTATAATTTATTTCGAATTATTTTGACTAAATAATAATGTTATTTTTTAATATAGCACGTAATCTATTTAACGTACAAAATAAAATAATTAACGTGTTACAAGGTTTAGCGTGCTACAATATTTAACGAGTCTTTACGCACCCTTACGCTTCTCTGTATTAACGCGTTAATAAATTAGCGCCTTCATTAACACGTTTAAAAATATATCATTAGTAATAGCGCGTTAATGATTTTTTTGTCGTTTTGAACACCTCTTATATATATTGATGTATCGCTCCGAATTGTAATCGACGCTTCTTGATGATCGGGGATATTGTAAAGCGAGTTGCCCAAACATCATCGTTATAGGATTGCATCTTTTCAATTTCAATTTTCACTTAAGAGTGAATTCATTTTTATTTTAAAGCGTTGTGGAAAATTGATAATTAATTTATTGATCACTGAATCACGAGTGTTCGCGGTGAAATCTCTGGTTGAATAACTATCTATCGCGAATAACGTCTATCGCTATAAGAGTACATAGATTTATGTATGAGAGTATATTGTATTGTTCTATGGATTTTTTGACGTTTAGAAATGTAAATAATTACATTTTCTTAACAATTCGGTAATATTTAATATGACCGCCGATCACAGTCCGGGTAGCCCACTAGACATTGGCGATACCGAACAAGCTGTTCTGATGGATCCAATTGATCACGAACGGTGCAGGTATCCTTATTGTATAGTCTGGACACCTATTCCGGTGCTGACGTTAGTATATTCATTATTATGATTTTGCACCTCTATTAAAAGAATTTAGAATAATTATTAATGTATTTGTCAGATGGATTTTCCCTTTTCTCGGTCATATGGGAATTTGCACATCCAACGGAGTAATCAGAGACTTTGCAGGCCCCTATTTTGTGTCTGAAGATTTGATGGCTTTTGGAAACCCTACAAAGTATTGGCAACTGTCACCGCAGAAAGCTAACAATGGTCAAGCTGGTTGGGATTCTGCAGTCACTGAAGCTTCAGAGATATATAAAAAAAGGATGGTAATGTTTTTTCCAGTAACAAACTTCATAAAATTAATAATTGTTACACACCTTAAATATAAAATGTATCTTTGTTTTAGCATATCATATTTTATGACAATTGTCATTCACATGTTGCAACAGCACTGAATATCATGAATTATGGTGGATGCAAAAACTGGAATATGGTCAAATTGGCATTTTACATGATACCTTACTCAAAATATGTTAGGTAAGTAGGTTCATCATTTTAGATTATTGCTCTTGAAATGTTATAATTGGTTGGAATTTGAAAAATTACCAAATTAAACCAGTTTTAAAATATTATCTTTGAGTAGAGTGAGAGGTAACCTTGAGTAAAAGTAGTAGATCTATATATTCTGATGAAGATAGATTGTATGGATAATGAACTTTATATACTTATACGAATATAGTAAGACTTAAAAACCTTCACTCTTATACTTATACATTAAATATTGTTTCACTTTTTTTCAGTTTTGGAGCATTTCTGAAAACATGGTTACCATTCCTTATTATAGTAGCATTTATTTGTGGACTTGCAGCTCTCATATAAGTGATTGTTGAAGATTGTGTATTACTTAACTTGATGATATCTGTTAAGGATCTATACAATATTATTCTACTGTTCAATTTTTGTACCCATACATTAGGTCAATGTTGATAGATGATTATGTTTGTATTGCAACAATCAAGCAATAATTATTTAATCAATAGATTTTTTTTTTCTAAAATCTGGTTATAATAATTACTATCATATTAATATTTAAGGTTAAAAAATAATATTTAAACATTTTGGTTCTCATATTTTATTTACAATGTTTTTACAATTTGTTTGCATGTTGTATTGTTTTTGTTATAATAATAATAATAATAATAATAAATTTTTATTTCGGACATCCAAGATCCATATTATTGTTAGTATGAACTTAACTTATGTTAGCTGTAGACACTCACAAATAATTAATAAAGGATAGAATATTGATGGAATAGTTTCCTATTCCATCAATACTCGGGCACAGTGTATGAAAAAGGGACTATCCCATTTTCCAGATATTGCATGTAGGATGATGTTGGTGCTATCGCGTGTTCTGTATAGTAAGGACGCTATTTTCTTACGTATACACGCTTGAAACCCGTCTGTGCGTGCCTCCGCGAACATGCCTGACGCACTGCAGAACCGCGGGAGCCCCAACAACATCCTAAACGCGTTATTATATTGGACACGAAGAGCGTTGACCGCTTTTTGAGTATACATTGTCCATAGGCTACCCGTGTAAAAGTTTTGACAAAATGATTTAAATAGCGTAATTTTTACCTCTCGTGAACAACGGGAAAACCTACGGATTAACATGTTAGCTCTCACCGTCAACGCCCTTCGCTCCCTTTCTATGTCCATATCATCATTTAAATCATCACATATAATATGCCCTAAATATTTAACATGATTGACCCGCTTCAAAGGATTTCCATTCAGTTTGATTGGTGGTAACTGTTCCACGTTTTTATATTTTTTATTACCCTTTGGTGTAAATAACATAAATTCACTTTTACTTATATTATACTGTAACCCATGACTCTCAGCAAACTGTTCACATAGTTGAAGCAGTTTCCTAATAGCACTGATTGATGGTGCCAGCAGCACCATATCGTCCGCGTAACTAATATTGTTTACACACGTACCGTCTATATAACATCCGATTGGTTGTCTACTGAGGTCATCCATCAGCTGATTAACATAAAAATTAAACAGGTGTGGAGAGGACACCCCCCCTTGTCTAACCCCGCATTTCAAACCATAAGCATCAGAAAGTGAGCCAGACCATTTTACTCTATTAACTTGGTTACTATACCAATATTCAAAAATAGAACATATTTCCTTTGGCACGTTAGTTTCACGTAACTTTGGCCACAACACATCATAGCATACTGTGTCGAAAGCCCGCGAGAGATCTAGAAAACATGCAAAAACCGGTGTCTGTCTGTCTACATAATACTTAGTAACATATTTAAAGCTTAATATAGCACTTTCTGTGGACAGTTTAGGCTTAAACCCGAATTGCGCATCATGAAAATTCAAATGCTTCACCAACTGTTTATCTAGTAGACGATCTAATATTTTTGCCATTATAGTAGCGAGTGAAATTGGTCTATAGTTATTTTTATCAGATATATCCCCCGTTCTATTTTTGACTATCGGTACAACAACCGTTTTCATTAAATCATGTGGTAGATAGGAATGAGAAATACACAACGAATAAAACAAAGCTAACACTCTAGACAAATGTGGACCCGCATTCCGCAAGTGCTCGATACTGAGACCGTCGTGACCCGGGGACTTCCCTTTGCTCATACCATCGATTATGTCTCTAACATCTTTGACAGAAATATTGATGCAGTTTTTGTCAACATTTTGCTCAGGTTCGAACACCGACGTAGAGCATTTGATAACAGGATCCACATAAAAATGATCTTTAAAAAGATTTGCAATTTCTTGTGGTTCCGATACTCCACCTATACAACTAGAGAGGCCAGATGTCAGGTTTAATCTTTTGATACTTTTCCAAAATTGAGAGAAATTTTTGGAAGACCGTTGACTAGCAATTATATCCATTTTAATTTGATCCTGATTATTTTGACACCATTTAACCTTAGCTTTAAAAATCTTTTTAGTTTCACACATGTTATCATAAATTTTCCCACATTTCGGCCTACCCCTAATAACCCATTCCAAGAACTTAAATCTAGCCTCTCTATGAGCATCACTGACATGTTTATTCCACCCAATTAGCCCGCGTTTCCTCTTTCCACTCGCCACACATGTCTGCATGGCACTCTCTCTTAATATATTAATAATTTTTGTATACATATTATCTAATTCCAGCTTATGCCCGAAATTACTACATTGTTTATTCGCACACTGCGTAAATAATTGAGGAAAGTCCAACATTTTCAATCTATCATTACAAAGTACTGAATATTCATATATTTGTGGGAGTTGACGTTCTCCCCATATAACAGTCCTATCAATATTATTATTAATGGATGTAACCTTTTTACGAATAAGTTGTAAATCACAATACACTTCTAATGGATGGTGGTCTGACCACATAACATCATAACGTACCTTAATGTCCATAATAGTCTCCTGAGCAGATTGTGTCACTACACAATGATCCAACCACCTACGGGAGCCATGTGCATCACTAACAAAAGTATATACATCAGAACACAAACCAAACTTGCATATATCTGCACATAACCATTTCTGGTCCTTGCAGAAACGAGATAATTCTGTCTCAAATAACTCGCTAGGATGAGCATTAAAGTCACCCAACACAAACACAGATTCAACTTCATTATTATCTATTATTGCATTAATTTCGCTTAAGCACTCTGTAAACTCCGGCAGGTTATCAATTGACTGCGTAGGCATATACACACTGAACACCACAAAAAACCGGTTCGCTATCTCGAACCGCACAGCTGCGATGCGATCGCTGACGCACTTTATTGTATTTACCGAGCTAAATGCATTTTTACGCCACATAATACCTATTCCTCCGTATGGTCGGCCGCGCAGCAGGCTAGTAGAAATATCAACGGATGATTTGCCCGTATAATCGAAATCGGAGTGTATTGTTCCTAGGAAAGGTATGTCTTGAGGTAATAACCATGTTTCTTGTAACGCTATAATATCCGCTGTGTTACACATACGATTTATACACATAGCAGATCTTTTTACTGATTTACAGTTAAAACTCATTAATTTGCACTTTTCCATTAATGTTTTATATGATTACGATTGTCATCTCGCCTAGAAAAACTGACGAAGCGTCTAAAGGTAATACCATCAGGCCAAAACTTTACATCCAAGAATACTGATAGTTTACTTCTAGGTACCAGGATTTTATATGCATCATACCCACGTTCCTGTTTAAATTTTATCTTCTCCATACATACAATGGTATCTGTTTTGCACTGAATATAATTAATTATGTCGTCAACTGAGGTACACCTATCAACATTGTTAATAAATAAAGGAATTTTTGAATCCGCCGCTCTGAATTTAATTTCTGGCTTGGGTGTGGCTTCACCCTTTGCCGTCTCGAGCCGATTTCTATATCTTTTCCTCTGAACTAGTTTCCAATCCTCACTACGATCCTTTTCTCTCCATTTTCCTTCTACACTGGCCACTTGAGAAAAAGATTTTTGTGACGTACTATTAGATATGATGGTCTTAGAATTTGGGAAGTCACTAGGGACTGCAGATGGGGCTTGTCCAGGCTCAGCAAGTTTTACTTCAGTCGAAGACACGTCTCCACCCGTTCCAATTCGTGGAGAGGGCATCCTCTCCAAGCTTTGCGACATTATTCTATCCTGTTGTTTATCGACAGGAGAAGATGATTCATTGATGCCACTACACAATCCAACAGGAGGTTTACACTGTGTCAGACTTTTTATTTGAGACTCTGGGATGTGGAGTAAACCTATTGGACCACTGTCATAAGTCTCAGCCGTTAGATTCGATCTACTTCGACGTATTGCATTCACGTTAGTCATCTCAAAGTTGTTTACTATAGACGCGCTTTTTATATTTTCGACGTCGCTTTTCAACGCAGTAAGCTCTTCACTCAAAGCATAGTTTTGTTTAATATAGTTATAATTTTTATACATTTCAAATTACTTAAATGATGAAGACAACAGTTAATAAGAAAGAAATTTTTGTTGGAAAATCAAAATGCTTGAAGTATGTTAATAATATTAGCAATTATTTAAAATCATACAATTAGTACTGATAATAATGGTTTTTTGTTAATTATATCAAGTTGTAGGTTATGCTCAGTTACTCAAATAATATAATTTTTATTATTTGTTACAAAGGCTGAAGTTAGTGATCAAGATAACCATTTAGTAGATATAATTAAAATATGTAGTTAAATAAAGTGTATAAAAAGCATTGTTTTTTATAAAATCAGTTTTTAATATACAGAATGTAACTTTTGTTTCAAACTCTTAAAAAAAAATTTACAAATAAAGTGTTTGAAATAATTTGCTACATACAGCAAGTAAGCAAGTTAAGAAGTTAAATAGGCAACAGATTGTATTGTAATTGATGATTTCTTAGAAACGTTATTTAATAAAATTAATTATTGTGTTCTTTGAAAATGTACATGATAATTGTTTCATTGTATCACTAATACTATACACATGATAAAACAGGTTTGTATCACTTGACTGACATGAAATTCATTGAGTTCATAAAGACAATTATACAAAGCAAAGGAAAAGATAGTGCTTATATTATTACTGTAATTATTACACTTGGATCCAATTTTTGATACTAAATGGTATTCTTTAATAGTAGTGTGTCATCAAAAGCTGTTATAAGGTAATTTTTTTGTCTGCGCCCATACATATTAATTTTGGAAAATGTTTTTGGTTGATACCTAAATTTGGACAGCATTATGAATAACAAAATTATATAAATATATATTATTAAAAATAAAGTATTATTAAATATTAGGTTGTGGAAAAAGTCTTCATAAAGTATGCATAAACTTGTAATAAAATCTTTCTGACTATACCATTTGTATCTGGCTGGGTCCAGTATCATTAGAGTTTAAATTTTAATGAAGGATTCAAATAAGACAAATGTGTTATTTTCATTTGTTTTTTTACTGTCAAACAGTCAGTTGCACAAACATCCATTACGGTTTAATGACACCTTTAAGCCTAAATTAATGTCAAAATAGTATCGGTGATGCCGCTTTAAACTAATGAAATTTTTTAATGGTTGTTTGTGCAATTGGCTGAAAATGAGTTAATCTAATGAAGGAATTAGATTCATTTTAAAGCTTTATTACAAAAAACGCAACACAAGCCATGAAAAAAACTTGTGACATTTATGGACCTAGTGCAGTTTCTGTGACAGTAGCAGAAATTTGGTTTAAGCATTTTTGAAGTTGGATATTTGGGTACATTAGAAGCTCACTGAAAGAAACCAAATTTTTTATTCTTTATTATGGCCTTTCTGAAACCAAACCATTTTTGAAGAAGGTTATAACTGGTGATCAAGAGTGGGTAACATATGACAAGAATGTGCAAAAAAGGTGGTCAAAGGTCAATCAAACTGCAGTGAAACCCAGGTTAACCGCAACAAGGTGATACTATGTGTATGGTGGGATTGGAAGGGAATTATGTATTATGAGCTATTACATCCAGGCAGGACTCTTGATTCTGAACTCTACTGAGACCAACTGAAGAGATTACAGCGAGAACTTGAGAGCAGTAATAATCAATAGAAAGGATGTGGTTTTTCATCTTTACAACGCTAGATCTTGCACATCTTTTTGCCACTCTGCTAAAATTAAGAGTTTGGCTGGTATGAGTTAATGCATCTGCCATATAGTCTTGACCTTGCATCTTCGGATATCTACCTGTTTCTGGATTCTTTCTTCAGAATTCTTTAGAGCACAGAAGCCCCAAAATTTATATAAGATGGTAAAAAGTTATCAAATGAAATGATACCTACATACTTAAGTTAAATGTAATTAAACTGCATAAAAAAATTTTTTGAACTTTTAAATAAAATGTGAAAAAAACTTTACCCCAACCTATTATTTAATTTTAAGACTACAACTGATCTCTTAATAAAAAATGACTTCAAATTACTGATAGACCTTACAATTAGTAACTTTTTACTTCTAAGTAGAAGTATAGAGTTGCTTGGGCACTTATATTATGGCAATCTTACTCACTTTTTTAGATTCAGTTATGTCATCTTTGATTAGCATTCTTTCAATACACTTTTTTCAACTGAAAAATTGTACTCATAATCACTCAAATTTAATTTGTTAGTCAGAAATGCGAGAAGGTCACCAACTTCTGATACTATTGAATCTTTATTAGTGCTCAATTGTAGTTCACGACATAGTGTGAATGGTACACCTTGTAGATAATGGAAAGATTGATCTATTTTCGGAACCGCTGGTCTTTGTGGAATAGCAGGGGCTGGTCTTATTGGGCATGAGCCGCTGGGTACACTTGGATAAAGACTTCCTCCAGGAGACAATGGGTCGATCACCACAAATCCATCGTCTGGTTTGGGCCCAGGAATCGGAGGAGTGTCATCTTCAACTGGTGATGAACGGCGTTTACCAAATATGGACGAGAACATCTTGCTAGTAAAACTGACGTAATTTATTTAAGTATCTACTTGATTCTATTGTTTAAAACTTGAAATTAACTTTTCACAGTTTGAGTTTCATCAAAGGCGTCATTCTCGCATGGCAATTTTTTAGAAAAACTTGATACATACAATAGGTACCGTTTTACTGATATATAAACCACAGCTGTGAGTAATATAATTTATTAGTTCGCAAATTATCAAGCTTTGCAATCGAAACAAACACACACAGACCAAGGATATGGCAAAGAGTAAAGTCACGGGTAAAAGTCTATACTTTTGTCTATGTTGTGAATTAGTATAAAACTTTTTAAAGAGGATTATAAAAAAATAAATTTCTGACGTCTTCTTCTTCTTTGATGTCAGTTCGAAAGAAATGGTGGTTTTTTTCTAATATTTCAACATTCAGCGTCCCTTTAAATTTAACATTGTGGCGACCGTGACCGTAGGCATTTATTAGTAATAAAAATGGATTTGCAAAATAAGAAAAAGGAACGAACTGTGTTGAGAAGACTTTTTACCAATACCACAAATAGTTTCGAAACATTGCTAGACCAGAAGGTAACCGTAGATTTAGACGTGTGCTATACAAAGCTAAGCGATCATACGGAAAATCTTTTTAAATTAGACAATGAAATAAAAAACTTGATTTTAAGTAAAGAATTTGACGAAAACGATTTAGAGGAAGAACTTATATCAGTTGACACCTATAAAGAAAAATGGCTGCGTATTAAGAAAAAATTTAACGATATATCTAAAGTTGCGGAAAAAGCAGATATTATAGATAAAGAATTAAATCAACAAGCCAGAAATCTAAAACTGCCAAGATTACAATTACATATTTTTGATGGCGAGTTAAAAAACTGGTTGCCTTTTTGGGGTCAATTTAGTAAAATTGATAGTGACCCAATAATGGACAAAATTGATAAATACCAATATTTGGTACAGTCAGCAAAAGAAAACTCGGAGGTTCGTGAATTGATCGAGAGTTTTTCTCCAACAACTTATGACGAATGTTTAGAACAGTTAAAGGCGAGATACGCGAGAACTGACTTACTCACACTTATATACGTAAGAGAAATTTTGGGAATCATTCTAGTAGACAAGAAAGATTCAATAACTCATTTGTACGATAAGTTAAACGCTCAACTGCGTGCGCTTGAAACTCTAGGTCTTACTATTAAAAATTATGCCGCGATCTTATTACCATTGGTAGAATCTGCTATACCCCAAGAGCTTCTTAGAACATGGGAAAGAAACAAGCAGAAGACAAAAGACTTGTCCGAAGAATTAACAGATTTGTTAGAGTTTTTGAAGAAAGAAGTTGCAAGTGAGCAAAGAATTCTTATGTCAAGGGAAACATTTAATAATAAGGAACAAAAAGATTTGTCAATTGGAAAACCAAGTACTGCAGAATGTCTCATATCAAACATAAAACAAAAACAACTCGTATGTTTATGGTGCGACAAAAGCACACATGGAAGCCTCGAATGTTATAAAATACAAAAAATGTCATTGGAACAGCGACGCCAGATGCTAAAAGACAAAAAAGCATGCGCCATTTGTCTTAGAAAGGGTCATCATCCTAAAGCATGCAGAGCGATCGTCAAGTGTTTCATTTGTGCGAAACGCCACTCTACGGTCTTATGTACAGATCAGAGGACTGAGAGAAACCCAGTAATTTCAGGAAAGTCAGATGAGGCCGCTGCGCTTTCTTCCAGCATTTTTACAAAGGGACAGACTCTGTTACAAACTATTATAGTTGAAGTAGAATGTGGTGGTAAGAAATTACGAGTACGTACTTTGCTTGATTCGGGTTCTCAGCGCACATATATACGAGAAGATATTGTAAAGAAATTAGGTATGATACCTTTAACGAAGGAAAAGTTAGCTTTTTCATTATTTGGTGGACATGAAACTGAATCGCAAGACCGTAACGTATATAATATTAAGTTGAATTCCTTAGAGAATACATTTAGTATAATTGTATCTGTTATAAGCTTAAATACTATTTGTAATAACATACCAAAAATTAATTTTAGAGATGTGAATATTAAAAATATGCTTGTCAGACATAATATCTCCCTGACAGACAAGGGTGACATCTCAGACATTGGGTTGTTGATAGGTGCGGACTATTTAGGATTTCTGATAACAGGTACTATAGTTCAGCTGGAGGATGGTCTAGTCGCAATTAAAACCAACTTGGGTTGGGCGTTACAGGGCAAACCGGTGAGTATAAATAATTCATTTGATAAGGTTTTATCTGTTCTTTATTGCTCATGTGATAATAATAATTTGACAGAATTTTGGTCTTTGGAGACACTTGGGATTAGAGACCCAGCGGAGGTAAAGTCAAAAACGGAAATTGTCGCTGATACTTTAATGACTTTCCGAGAGAATATAAAAACATTGGACGATGGAAGGTATGAAGTTAATTTACCATTTAAGACGAATTTTGATGATTTAACTCCGAATTTTGAGAAAGCCAATAAACGGTTAGAGTCAATGACTAGACGGTTGATTGCAAGCGGAAAATATCAGTTATATGACGATGTTTTTAAAATGTGGTTGCAGTTAGGAATTATTGAACCAGCGGAAAATACTACTATTAACTGTGGACATTACCTACCACATAGGCCGGTGATAAAAGAGCAAAGTCTCACGACGAGTATTCGACCCGTTTTTGATGCTTCAGCTACCGATAAAAACGGTCTTAGTCTTAATAAGTGTCTAGAAAAGGGTAATAACTTAATTGATAAAATACCCAATTTAATCAATAATTTTAGAGTCGGAGTCATAGGGATGACAGCCGACATTGAGAAGGCATTTCTTCAAATAAGTCTGGCAGAGCCTGATCGAGAATATTTGAAGTTTCTTTGGTTTGAAGATGATACAATGACGAAATTAGTCACATATAGACACTGTAGAGTCGTATTTGGGCTCACATCTAGTCCATTTTTATTATCAGCTACATTACAATATCACCTTAATTATATGGAGAATGGACCATTAGGTGGTACAGCGAAACTATTAAATAAATCATTTTATGTTGATAACTGTTTGATTAGTGTCGATACAAAAGATGAGGCTGTTAAGGTAGTTTCTGAAGCCAAAAGGATTATGCAAGTTGGTAAGTTTAATCTTAGAATGTGGGTATCTTCTGAAGGGCTAAATGAGGTTGGTAAGAGTGTGATTTCTATTTTGGGTTTGAATTGGAATGTAGTGACGGATGAGTTATGTTGCAATTGTAGTAGTCTTCCTACATTCAGCGAAATTGAAGGACTCACAAAGCGTAAACTTTTGTCTGTGGCTCAAAAGATATTTGATCCGATTGGTTACACATCCCCAGTTGTTTTGACGCCTAAACTTCTTCTGCAAGAGGCGTGGCAACGACAGATACCATGGGATGAAAAATTACCCTCAGATTTGTTTGCGAAGTTTCAAGACTGGTATCAATATATAAATTTTATAGGTGAATGTTCTATACCGAGACGGTTGTCGGTGGTTTTTTTCTAATATTTCAACATTCAGCGTCCCTTTAAATTTAACATTGTCGGTGGATATTTTGAGTGAATGTAGTGTTAGTTTTCATTTATTTTGTGACGCTAGTAAAAGAGGATATGGTGCTTGTGTCTTATTAAGGTCTGAGAAGGATAAGAAGGTGTCAGTTCAGTTAGTGGCCGCTAAATCGAGGGTAACCCCGTCACAAAATATGACTATACCTCGATTGGAGCTCACTGCTGTATTGATAGGATCTCGACTACTAGCTAATGTCAGAGATAGTTTACAACTGTCTAACTGTTCCGAATATTGCTGGACAGACTCTGAAGTTGCTTTGTGTTGGGTAAAACGCGAGCTTTCTCTAAACACATTTGTAGGCAACAGAGTCAAAGAAATCCGGCGAAACACAAATATTTGTGACTGGTACCATGTTCCAGGAGAACTAAATTGGGCTGACCTGGCATCTAGGGGATGTAACGCGAAAAAGTTATTTGAATGTCGCTGGTGGGAAGGACCGTCATGGTTACGATTAACACCAGCAGACTGGCCCCACTCGGAGTTAGTCGTAAACGAAAGAGAGGTACTTGCTGAAACAAAAAAGACAGTTTGTAATATAAATGTAAACACGGATGAGAATTTTATTTGTAGATTGCAGAAATATTTTTCAATATATTCAAAGACTATTAGAATGACTGCTTGGGTACTAAGATTTGCATATAATATTAAAAATATTGATAATAAACGGAAAGGAGAATTAACATCAAAAGAATTCGAAAAGGCCGAAGAGTTTATTATAAAACTTATACAATTGGTAAACAAGGAGTACTTAGATAAATGTTCAGGAAATTTAGTAACATTTAAAGACAGTGACGGAGTGGTTCGAATTAAAACGAAATTGTTATTATCAGATTTTCCCGAGTCTATGAAATCTCCATATTTATTACCAGCGAGAGATCCAGTTGTACTTATGTTAGTGAGACAACGTCACCTTCATTTACAACATGCTGGTGCAAATCAACTTATTGCAGATATTCGGTCTAGATTTTGGATCATTGGCATACGAAGGCTCGTGCGACAGGTTATCATGTCCTGTGTTATTTGCAAGAGACACAAAGCGAAGCCAACTATAGCTCCTGTTGCACCATTGCCTCTGGAGCGCGTGACATGCTCAGCTCCATTTCAGACGACTGGTGTCGATTTAGCAGGTCCATTATTTTTACGAAATGGCAAAAAGTGCTGGATTGTCTTATTCACATGTGCCGTTTATCGTGCTGTTCATTTGGAGATCGCGATATCACTGTCGACAGAAGATTTTATAATGACTCTGCGAAGATTCATAGCGCGACGTGGGCGAATTAATATGCTTAACTCCGACCAAGGAACAAATTTTCACGGCACGAAGAATTTAATGGCTAAATTAGACTGGAATGACATACAAAAATATTCTACTGTGAAACGTATCACGTGGAAAATGAACGCACCCGCAGCTCCATGGTGGGGCGGTTATTGGGAGCGATTAATTAGGATAATGAAAGACTTACTTCGTCGAGTCTTAGGTAATGCAGCAGTTTCACATGAAGAGTTACATACCATTATATGTGACTGCGAGGCTACTATGAATGGACGACCACTTACTT